ATTTTTTTCTATTTAATAATATTTATTTCAAACTTGCAAGTTGAGTTAAAAGTTATGGTAATAAATTCATTTTTTTTTTATTAAAACTTTCACTTTAAAGAACAAAAAGAAGTAGGTTCAAAATGATTACTTTTAACATATTAAAAATCAATAATAATTTGAAAATAATTAATTATAAAAATTATATAATATATAATTAAAATAATTACTAATCTGGATATAATTAAGGAAATAGGAGTTGATGTTGGGTTGGGTTGGTTACATTTTTAACTTTATAATGCTATAACTCATTGAAAAGTGTACGAATCAACACAATTTTTTTATGAGAAATAATATTTTTTAATAATCCCTTTTTCATTCGACATACTTTATCTTAATCAGGGTATTAATAAGAAACTAGCAGATAATGTAGCTTTTGTAATTATCCACCAATTTCTTAGAATTAAACACTATCTACTGATTTGCATCGAAGCGTTTCTTATGATAGTGATTTTAATCACTGTCAGATTAAATCTATACTGGACCCAACTATGCAACATCCCCACTATGCCGCGACCCCACTGTGCTGGGTTTTTTTTAATATTAAATATAATAAGAAAAATTTATTTTAATATTTTTATCATTATAAATAAATAATAAAAATATATTTTTAATGTAGTCCAAAACAGTAAAAAAAGTAACGCAAAATATTCATTGGATTAAAAGTTATTAAAGATGTTAAAACCTGATGGGTCACTCTGTAAATCGATGTTTTAAAATAACTATCTGTATGTCGTTGTCGATTATTTGATTATTTAATCGTATACATTGATTAATCGAATGATATCAATTATTTTAACTCTATCGATTATTAAATATAGCAAACTATTATAAATAAATAATAAACAATAAACCTACACTAGGAATGTTGTATTAATGGAAGTTTGGACATTTTTCTAATAGAGATAGCAACAAGTAAAATGCGTCATAAGCAAAAATATTCTACGTTTTTTTCTATTATAAAATATGCACCATTAAATGTGTTAAATACTTGAATGTTATTAAAAAAATAAAAATGAATTTGTACAGTTGGATCAAATTGAAAAATACCTTCTATTTAGTTTATGAATTTATTGATAGACCATGACAATTAATGACTAAAGACAGCGTTTTTTTTTAAATTAAGATAAGTAATTATTTTTTTTGTTGAAAACAGTTTCCCCTAAGAATAAATTTGGTAACATTAAAAAAAGAATGAGTGAACTTAACCAGTGCTATACGCAAGATTATTTAAGGAGGGCGTCACAATATATATGATTTGATCGTCTTTTTCTTGCACGTTATCTTATGAAAGCTGAAATAATCTCTTGCTCAGCAAATGAAGTGATTTTCGAACCCGAGACAAAAAGCACCAAGCACAGCTGCGTTACTGATTTGGCCACGTCCGTCATAGTAGTATATGCANGACATACTTTTTTTTAAAATCTGACCATTTCCCTTTATACAGGGGGGGTGCAAACCTTTTAAAATGCGTATAGAAAGTAGAACTTTTTCAACTTAACTTTTGAAAGTGTTCCATAAATACTGACATTTTTATATATACCTTAAAATAAAGCTTACATAATATAGTTTATTATGGAAAAAAAAAATTCGGACTTTATTTTGTCTTCACGGTGAAAATGGCTACCAAATGCTAATGTGTCTGTATACGCTCAATCTTAGCTCTCACTGAACCGATTTTGATGAAAAATATGTCAAAAGATCACAAATCGTATCTAG